GGTGTACCGGTCAAAGCGAACGGCCCAACGTTCCGGTCAGTTGCCAATGTGGCCAACCGGTCTAGGTATGTAGCACCCGGCTTGGGTTTTCAGTCCATGTTTGACCTAGGTCAGGTGGGAATGTCTTTTGCATGGCAGCCGTTCTAGAGTGGCTTCGAAGCAAACACACAGGAACACCGCACATTACGGGGTTCCCCCTATGTAGAAAGACGAGCCCAAGTGAACCTTGGATTTCCGGATCTGAATGTGGTTTCTTGCAGAGTTGTATGGGCGATGGTTGTAAAAGTGCAAGTAAGCAGCTCGAAATGAGTTTCCCAGAGGGGCCCTGGGAAGCCTTTCTGGATGGGTGTCGGGTTGTTGAAACCTTGGAAGGGGGGATTGTTGTGCCATCTACTTTTACCCCAACTGTATCCCAACAAGGCGTGACTGAATTCCTTGCAACTCATCGCCCCTCAAAGCCACATCACAGGAAAGCTTCTTGGAACCTCGGAAGGGATCCTTAGAAGGAGTAGAAAACCAGGTAACCATTCCTAGAAACTCCGTTGGCGGAAATTTCGGCCGTTTCCTCAAAGGCAGAAATTTTCGCCGTTGTTCGGAAAAAAACGCCGGGGATGGGGAAAACGCCGGAGCCAAGGAAAAACGCCGTCGCCGCAACGCTACAGTTAGATGCCCACGATGCACTCAGCCCTCAATGGTTGCCAATGTTTGGCAATTGTCCCAACTGACGCACGCTTCAAAGCACGACGCCACCAAACCATTTTCACCTAGCCCGTCTTGCCAGCAAAGGCTGTGAGAAGGTCTAGACTCGAACGATTGTTTCCCTTGCCCACCCAGCATGTCTCGGCGCGTCTCGGGCGATGGCAGACACCCTGCAGATCCATGGCAGGCTTGCAGTCAGCCATGCAACTAAAAGGATGGTCTCAAACGCTGATCAAAGGGGGATGGACGTCCACTGTTCTTCGACCTGGGGAATTCCGCCCGGGGAATATCGCCCTTTCCCGGGGAATTCCGCCCGTTTCCCGGGGAATTCCGCCCGTTTCCCGGGGAATTCCGCCCGCGCTCCGGCCCAGAAAGCTCCGAACATTGGACAAGAACACGTTGCCAAGAGTGTCCGGCGTGTTGTGAAGGCCTAAAACATCACCAGGCATTCCCAGAAATAACAAAGGAATGCTCGCCTGTGAATATTCTGTCGCACCTGCACTTTCCAGGATCTCCAAACTTCCCCCATCCATGTGGGCATCAAAGCAAGCCATAGGTTGATCAAAAAGAAAGAGATGGAAGTCCAACAAGCCATCAACGGCAGGGAACACCAGTGAATCGCAGTTCAAAGCGAAAGCAGTGTTCAGAAGTCCAAGCGAGTAGGGCTAAGCGATGCTTAAGGTACCTCATCGCGAACAAGCAAAAAACGCCGGCGCCAAGTCAAAAACGCCGTCACGACGAAAAAGGCGCCTTTTCCCAAAATGGGCGGAAATTTCTGCCGGAAGGATGTTCTAGGTTCTGCTGGGGTAGGGTGGGTTCTAGTGATCAGCCTTATAAGAGAAACAGTCAAATGCCACTCTCAGGTCAGTACGTGATCGATGCGAAGGCATGGATTGTCGACGGGTGTGTGTGTCTTAAAGCAGTCGGTCGACCACCCTTAGATTATGAGAAACTCAGTCGAGCATGGAGGTGGATAGTGTGGTTTTTCCGGCGCTTCCTGTGATGTCAAGGTAATGTGAATGACCCATCTTTGTATGATAGGGAGGGTGACTTCCCCCAACAATGCAGTTGAGTGAGCCTGAATTATCACATGACCAACTAGTTCGGGCCCTTCTATTCGGCTGGACCAAGGCGATCCGTTCGATGTTCGTATCGGCAATGAGTATGAGAATTGCGGTGTTTCTTTTAGTTTCCCGTAAAATCACCCCTATAAGGGTACCCTCAACAAAAGGCACCCAAACAATTTCCTTGTATTTTATCTGAAGGTTCTCGAAATTCGCGCGGCACCGACCACGATATTTGTGATAAGGGGTTCTGCACAGCCAGCATCAAGATACGCGCAGAATGCGGATGCATATTTCCAATGTGGTCGAAATGGGCGCTTCCTGCAATTGGGGACTCCCACGCGCTGATGGTATCCTGTTGAAAACAGCTTGTCCGTTTAGAAACTACCCAGATTTGCTGTCCTAGCGGAGTTTCAGTTGGAAGCATTCCATTTGCCACTGACTTTACGTAGCCGTCGTAGGTGGAATGGCAACCCCATCACGTGACACTTGGGTGATTGGCAAGTTAATGGGGTCAGTTAGCCGGGCGATAATTCCCACTAGCCCGGTTGTTAAACTCCGCTTAGGACGACCGTATAAGTGGGCTAGCCAGGCTTAGGATGGGTTTAGCCATTCGTTACCTGGAAAACCCACCAGGTGCGTCCTACCGCGGTGGAGCTGCCGTCGCAGATGCTCACGGCACACTTGCTGAAAGAGGTCAAATTGGGCGGGCGGTGTTGGGGAAAGGGGATGTTTTCTTGGGGGTCAAGGGAATTCTGAATTCAACCACCTGAACTGAAGGGGCCCGTAATTTTGAGACGCACCTACCTGGACCCTCGTGCCTTGTTTCGACGAAAGCGTAATTTGGGAGTCGGAGATACACTGTCCGTGAACCCTGGCCTGGTATCGGCATACGGCGTCAAACATTTCTTCAAAGCTGTGATAACTTTTGTCTTCTGCACTGCGTTCCCATCAGACGTGGCAGGTGCCGGGGCTTCCGGTTGGCAGCAACAACGTATTGCTTACTGCTGTGCTTCACCTGTGGGGCAGGGGCAAGCCAAAAAGAAGTATATCAGTGATTTGTTCATGGTTCCAATCACGTTAAGGCCATGCCCACTCCTGTGGTTCCTTTTCATACTTCCCAAACAAATTGTATGTCAAGGGGGCTTTCCTGGCATCACTCCCTGTGGAGCAACATTGCTTGTTTCCAGAACTACGCTGTGATATAAGGTGACCAAGAACAAAGTTGCTTTGGACAGCCTCCGGCCATACAAAGGAGTAGAACACGGCCAGCACGCACACCAGAACAACGCCCCTGAGCTAGCCGGCCCCGACGAAGTACACTAAGCGGGCCGCAACGAACCGCTCGTAGCCGTGGTGTCTGCAACAGGGGATCTCACGTGCGAGGCTTTCAGCCATGTATGTTCTGCAATCCGTCATGAATGCAGCCATGCCCCCCAACCCCCACCCGCCCCCGCCAACCCTGTGCGATGCCCAGCTGTTTCTGCCACATATTTGTTCTGCCAAAAAGGCGGCGACGTGTGACTTTACCAGCTACTATAAGGGCTTATATAAATGACGGGGTGGTGGCATACTGTAAAGCCGAATTTGTTTTTTGTTCGTTCTTTCTTTTTCCTTTTCTCTTTTTTCCCGGGTTGTAAATGGAATGCGTGTCAAATGGATGTCAAACCCATGTTGAGGGCTTATTCAATAGTTTTAAGACCAGCTTGGGTCACTTGCCGTGGTGTCCAGTCGAGCACCAGGGGTCGAGCACCAGGGGTGATGTGTCCCTGCAGAAGGGTACATCCCCCCCCCTTTAGCACCCGAAGAGCAATTTTTCAAAGAGTACCAAGGGACCTTTAGGGTTCGCACGGATCCTCAGCACTAGACGCCACCCCGCCCTCAACCAGGGGCGAAATAGTCAATGAATGCTGAAGCCCGGCTTGCCCAGGACATTCGCGGGTGGTGGAAATTCAAGGGAATTGGAATAGCTGGCTAAAGTGTTTGATAATTTCGCTTAAAATAAACATGTTCCCACTCACCTGCAAGTTGAACAAACTTTTCGGCCAAAGGTTGTTTGGAGGGAAAAGCCTGAGATGGATCGGCCCTACTGCTACCTGTATAGAATGGCCCCTTCCCGCAACTTGGTCAAAACAAGGGTTCTTTTAAGCGCAATGCACTGCCATCAAACAACTGCAATATCCACTTTAGATTCACCTTGCCTGCAAGGCTAGTTTAGGTCTGTTCCCCTTCAACTTGGGTACTGTATGTGCCAAAGCAAGGAAGAGCAACAAATGGGAGGGTTTCCCATGGTGATCCTATGGAAAAGCCTCCTCTGACTGGCGCTATTCCAACTCGCCTTTGGTGCCGGGTGTCCGCAATACGGGTGCCATGATTGTGAAGAACCACAAATTTTAGGTGTCCATGGACCCAAATCGTCGCAGGGGTGGCCCACAACCGTGTGGGTGCCCTCTCTGAATTGGTGTTAAAGGAACGAGAGACCCGGACACTGCTGCCATGTGTTAGTTGGTTTGTTTCAGCCATTGGTGCACAAAGCAAACCTCTGCCAACCCACTTCGCACACCATAGCAAACCTGCTCAAGCATCCCTACTATCCCCACGAAAACGTATACGTTGACCACGTCCCACTCGGTTCAAGTTTAGTTTGTCTCTAAATGGGAAATGAACAACGGACAACATTAGTAGAATATTAATGTTGGGCAGGCCCCGATATTGGTTCTGGGTTAGGCACACAAGTCCATAGGCTGGTGGAATCACATGATCAACCACCCTAAGTTGAGTCATAAGCACGGTCCCTTTGGGTCCAATGGTCATAGTGCCCACCGCTGAGAAAACGATCCATCCGTGAGATCCCAAGAAAGCAGCTAGAGACCAACTCTGAGAGCCTAAGAGCTTCGTTGAATAGGTACCAAAGGACCCCTTACCAGCCACCCGCAGCTACGGAGGCTGTCAGAGATTCCAGTTCTGCGGGCATAGCCTTTAGAGAGGATCTCAAGGGTTTGAACCAAATGGGTGTAGGGAGACCTTGACCAGTGGTTTCCTTTTGGTTTCCCTAATCCGAAGAAGGTTATGAAATCTGTGGATGGACGAAATCCTGCACCACTTGGACACTATGGGAAACTTGGGAAGCCATTGTTTGTTGGTATGTACAGGGGAATCGAATCATTCCAGGGTTTCTCAGGTTATTCCGAATTGGTTTTCGTCCAGCCACATATCTTTTTGAGGTCCCATTCGCGAATGGCAGATGAAACTGAGGCGGTGACTGAGGTGGAGAAGAAGGCCATTAGCTCCAGCTTCCGCGCCAAGATGCAGGCGATCTCGGGAGTCTGATGGAGTCCTCGGTGCCACGGGTCCTGGGTGCCTTCGAGCTAAGCGGCTACTTCACCCCCTTAGCCCCCCTTTCAACCGACAAGTTTTAGACAGTGTCGTTCAACAGAAAGTCCGACAAGTACCATTCTTTTCTGGAAAGCAGCCGCAAAGGCGAGGTATCCTCCCTGTTTGGAGCCACATACCATGGATTCCGTGCATGAACAAAAACCATCAACCAGTTGGCATGGAAGAAACCCTATTGACTATGAATGCGTGTTGATGATTCATGAAGTGCAACACGGCTTTTGTCCATTGACAGTATCCCCCTCCCCCTTCCAAAGAGAAAGTATCCCTGTACGTAGGCGGGTAACCCTAGGCTGATCTCCCCTAGATTTTCTCGTCAGAAGTGAGCCGCATCCATCCTCAGCTTCCCGCGCCGTCCTGGCCACTGGGCGTCCAGTAGCTTGCCATTGGCTTTCCATTTTTTACAATGGTCCCACTGGATTTTCAATTCGTTGCTTTATGTTTATTCGTTTCCCATGGCTTTCTCATTTTCTTCACTCGCGGATTCAGGCGAAGTACAACTTCACCTCACGCATCAACAAGGTTGAGACTCAAGTGAAGGAGATGAACGAGAGGCCGAGTGAGTGAGGGACCCAAAGTTTGTGAGAAGTTCGAATTCGATGTTCAATGAGGCGAGCCATTTGGGGAACATTCGGTGATGCGCTTGTGTATTTGTTTTGTTTGTTTCTTTGCTTTCTTGTTTCTTTGTATGTGTGTTTGTGTGTGTTCCTTGTTTGTTTGTGTGTTTGTTTTTGTTTGCTGGTTTTTGTTTGTTTGGGTTTGTTTGTTTGCTTCTTTGTGTCTTTGTTTGTTTGTTTGTGCGTGCTTGTGTGTGTCTGTGCGTGTTTGTTCGTGACTATGTTTGCTTGCTTGCTTGCTTGCTTGCTTGCTTGCTTGCTTGCTTCCTTGCTTCCTTGCTTCCTTGCTTCCTTGCTTCCTTGCTTCCTTGCTTCCTTGCTTCCTTGCTTCCTTGCTTCCTTGCTTCCTTGCTTCCTTGCTTCCTTGCTTCCTTGCTTCGCTTCCTTGCTGTTATGCTTCCTTGCTTCCTTGCTGTTATGCTTCCTTGCTTCTTTGCTTGCCTGCCTGCCTGCCTGCCTGCCTGCCTGCTTGTTTGTGCTGTTGTTTTGATGTTGTTTCTTTGTGACTTTGTTTGTTTGCTTGTGTGATTCGTTTGTTTGTGCTTGTTTGTTTTTATGCTTGCTTGCTTGCTTGCTTGCTTGCTTGCTTGCTTGCTTGCTTGCTTGCTTGCTTGCTTGCTTGCTTGCTTGCTTGCTTGCTTGCTTGCTTGCTTGCTTGCTTGCTTGCTTGCTTGCTTGCTTGCTTGCTTGCTTGCTTGCTTGCTTGCTTGCTTGCTTGCTTGCTTGCTTGCTTGCTTGCTTGCTTGCTTGCTTGCTTGCTTGCTTGCTTGCTTGCTTGCTTGCTTGCTTGCTTGCCTTCCTGCTCGTATGTTTGTTTATTTGATTGATTGCTTGTGTGTTTGTTTGTTTGGTCGTTTGTGTGTTGGTCTGTTTGATTGTGTGTTTGTTTGTTTGTTGGTTGGTTGGTTGGTTTGTTTGTTTGCTTGTTTGATTGCTTGTGTGTTGCGTAATTGTTTGATTGTTTGGTTGGTTGTTTAGTAGGTAGGTTGGTTGATTGTTTGCTTGCTTGATTGTTTGTTTGTTTGTTTGCTTGATTGTTTGCCTGCAGGTGTGCTTATTTGATCTGTCTATTATGCTATTGGTCTGTTTGCTTGTTTGTTTGTTTGTTTGATTGTTTTTGGTTGGTTGGTTGGTTGGTTGGTTGGTTGGTTGGTTGGTTGGTTGGTTGGTTGGTTGGTTGGTTGGTTGGTTGGTTGGTTGGTTGGTTGGTTCGCTGGTTTGCTGGTTATTTTGGTTGCTTGCTCGCTTGCTCTCTTGCTCGATTGCTCGTGCAGAATTGGTTGTGCTGCGATTTGGCTCGTTGTTCAATTGAGCAGCGTCAAAAGCCATGTTTTATAAATTGAAGATACACATCAATCCTCCCAATATCCTGTATCCTGAATGTAAAGCTCATTTTACACCATTTAGAGGACGAGCGCGCAAGCAACTAACAATTATTTTGCGCGTGCGCGTGAGCAACCAGCCAGCCTTTCCATGTACTTTTGAGGACCATGCAAGTACATGTGCATCTTCCGAGCGGCAAGTGCTGCTCCGTGTCACAGCTTTCCCCGGAGTCGAGCGTATACGACGTGAAGGCTGGGGCGCAGCAGCTGTTTCAGCGCCGCTTCCTGAAACTTGCTTTTGGAGGTCATGCGCTAGATTTGTCGTCTAGTTTGAGTGAGGCAGGTGTTCGAGATGGAGACAGCATTGATGCCTGCGTGCAGCTCGTCAGGATTGCTTCTACGGAAGGAGCGTTTGCGCTTTGTGTGCCAGGAGGCGCAGCACTTTCATGGGGAGATCCTGAGAAGGGTGGTGACAGCAGCTGTGTGCAAGAGCAGTTGGTACAGGTCCAAGCGATCCAAGCAACCCTGGCTGCTTTTGCTGCCATCCTGAATGATGGCTCTGTAGTGACTTGGGGCGATCCCGACCTTGGCGGTGACAGCAGCCAGCTGCGAGAGCAGTTGGTGCACGTCAATCAGATCCAAGCAACTGACGCTACTTTTGCCGCCATCCTAGAGGATGGCTCCGTTTTGAGTTGGCAGGATCCTGACCTTGGCGGGAACAGCAGCAAGGTGCAAGAGCAGAGTGGGCGGGTCGAGCAGGTTAAAGCAGCCAGCTATGCTTTTGCTGCCATCCTGGACGACAGCTCTGTGGTGACTTGGGGCGATCCCAAGTTTGGTGGTGACAGCAGCCAGGTGCGAGAGCAGTTGGTGCACGTCAAGCAGATCCAATCAACTGCTCGGGCTTTTGCTGCCATTCTTGAAGATGGCTCTGTGGTGACTTGGGGCGACCCGAACTCAGGCGGAGACAGCAAGCGTGTGCAGGAGCAGTTGGTGTGTGTCCGGCAGATCCAAAAAACAAGCAGTGCTTTTGCTGCTATCCTGCAGCATGGCTCTGTGGTGACGTGGGGCCATTCTTCTTGGGGCGGTGACAGCAGCCAGGTTCAGGAGCAGTTGGTGCAGGTCCAAGAGATCCAAGCAACCGGATTTTCTTTTGCTGCCATCCTGCACGACGGCTCTGTGGTGACTTGGGGCGCAAAAGACTTTGGCGGTGACAGCAGCCAGGTACGAGAGCAGTTGGTGCATGTCAAGCAGATCCAAAAAACAAGATCTGCTTTTGCTGCCATCCTTGAGAACGGTTCTGTGGTGACTTGGGGCGATCGTTCCGAGGGCGGTGACAGCAGCCAGGTTCGAGAGCAGCTGGTGCAGGTCCAGCAGATCCAAGCAACGGCTCATGCTTTTGCTGCCATCCTGCACGACGGCAAAGTTGTGACTTGGGGCCATCCTGACTATGGCGGTGACAGCAGCCAGGTGAGGGAGCAGCTGGTGCACGTCCAGCAGATCCAAGGAACAGAGTGTGCCTTTGCTGCCATCCTGGAGGACGGCTTTGTGATCACTTGGGGCCATCCTGACTATGGTGGCAAGAGCAGCCGTATTCAGACCCAGCTTGACTTGTTGTAAGGCGGATGTGTTTGCTCTGATCGCGCCGTCCAGGAGGCCATTTTCTGGGCGCTGCGTCTTCCTTGCATCTAAGTTTGGTCATCTTCCTCCAGAGCCGGCAATTCAGAAGCGCATCCCGCTCTGCGAGCGCCATTTTGCCGAAAAAGGTTGCTGGATTGTTGCGCAAAGGAACGGAGGAACGGAGCATGCCATTCTTTTGAAGGAGATTGATTGGGGCTCTGTCATTTGATTTCTCGTAGCGGGTGTCTTAGTCGATCACAGAAAAGGGAGCCACTTCGTTTCTTTTTTTCCGAGCACGGGCACGGGTCTGGACAACAGTCCGAAACGAAATGAGTGTTGGCTTCGGTTCTGCGCCTGAAGGTGATCAGAATCTGCGAGGCTTTCTGTTTTCCAGGCCCGGAAAGCTTCAATCCAAAGCCTGTGATCAGAAGACCTTCCAAGATGAGTCTAAGAACTTTTCGGTGGGATCGCCTTTGGTGTCCTCATCAAAAACCCATCGTCTACAGCGACGTGACCATGCAGCAAATTCTTGTTTGAAGTGTCTTCTTCTTTCGCGCTAGTTTGAAGCATCCTCGTTTTTGGTCGGAAGCTGCCTCAAGGCCGGGCAAATGCTCCTGCTCGTCGATTGCCAGTGGCTGGATTTGCCTTGCTTCCTGTCGCCGACTGCTTTGCTCGCCTCGTCTGCAAGGGTGGTCCGGGGACGGCAAGGGGGGACAACCCACACTTACCGCCAAAACAAGGAACCACATGTCCCCAAAGTATTGTGAAAAGTCATGCAAGTGCATGTGCACCTGCCGAGCGGAGAGAGCTGCTCCGTGTTAGATCTTCACCGGAGTCTAGCGCATGCGAAGTGAAGGCTAAGGCACCGAAGCTGTTTCAGCGCCGCTTCCTGAGGCTTGATTTCGGAGGTCACGCGCTAGATCTGTCGGTTAGTTTGAGTAAGGCAAATGTGCGAGATGGAGATAGCATTGATGCCTGCGTGCAGCCCGTGAGTTTATTTGCTTCAGAAGCAGCGTTTGCTCTCCATCTGCCAGGAGGCCCAGCGCTTTCATGGGGAGATCCTGACAAGGGCGGCAAAAAAGCTCAGAGAGCAGTTGGTGCAGGTCCAGCAGATCCAAGCAACCCCGGCTGCGTTTGCTGCCCCTGGACGACAGCTCTGTGGTGACTTGGGGCGATCCCGAGTTTGGCGGTGACAGCAGCCAGGTGCGAGAGCAGTTGGTTCACATCAAGAAGATCTAAGTAACTGCTTATGCTTTTGTTACCATTCTGAAAGATGGCTCAGTTACGGCGGTGACAGCAGCAAGGTGAGAGGTCAGTTGATGCGCGTCTAGCAGATCCGAGCAACATGGTATGCTTTTGCTGCCATTCTAGGCATCGGTTCTGTGTGGAGTCTGTGTGGTGACTCGGGGCCATTCGGACTTTGGCGGTGACGGCAGCCAAGTGGAAGAACGGTTGGTGCTTGTTCAGCAGATCCGCAACATTTTGTGCTTTTGTTGCCATCCTGGACAACGGCTCCGTCTTGACCTGGGGTCATTCTGCCCGTGGCGGTGACAGCAGCCAGATTCGGGCTCAACTTGACTGGTTGCAATACATATTGTTTCTGCCTTGTTCTCTGAAGCTGGTACTCTTGTGGTTTCCAGGAGGCCATTGCACAGTGCTGCCTTTGCTTCTTGCGCATCTGAGTCTGATCAGCGTGCCGTGGAGGTGGCAATCCAAATTGTCTTCAGATGAATACAGATTGGCCTCACTTTTATGGGATTTGCTTGTGCCAGGTTTTCTCTAGAATTAGGAAAGACAAGATTGGAACCTTCCAAGACTGTTCTATCAACTTTTCCGGTGGGGCCGTGCCGCCTTTGGTTTTCTCTCCAGACCCATCGTCCCCCCGCATCCCAGCACCACTACAAGGGTTGGTTAAAGTCCCTTTGTGTTTGGTGGGTTTCCCGCTTAAACGGGTTCCATTTGGTTTCAGACCCTGGGGAATGAGAAGCTATTAATCAAATTTTGTTTCCGAAACTAGGGATAATCCCACCTATGTGATTGGGCACAATCGCGGTTGGTCTCTCTTTCGTTTCCCCTTAAGACTCTTCCAAGTCACGTTTCTCGTGTCCCAAGAAGTCCAAAAAGGAAATTGGTAGATGTCTCATGTTTCCAGACCCCCTGTAACACGTCTTTTGGAACGGCCCCTTTATTTCATAGCGACGACCGTAGCCCGCAAGGGTCACACCAGCCGACGTCGGTCGGTCGCGGGCCTGAGTGGGATGAGAGGTGCTTTTTGACAGTGAGTTTCGTTTGCTTGTGAGCGCGCTCAAGATTTCGCCCTTTTTGACGGGGAAAGGGTCTGTAGAGACCCCAGTTGCCCAACAAAAATCCTATGCGGGTGTCACCCATTTTCCGAATTGCAGAATGTCTGAGTTGTTGGCTCAGCTCTTCTGTTCCGACTAACAGCAGTCCAAACTATCCAACGTTTTAGTTGGCCGGCCCTTTTGGTGGGATCGTAGGGCCACTGGTGCAATACAACTTGTCCCGGCTGCCCGCTTTGGGTAGCCAATTGTTGAACCTGGAGATTTAAAACTGAACTCTGAAGGATAGTTTGAGGCGCCAGACAGGTTTCTCAGTGGGTCTTCACCCGCCTTTTGCCCTGAAACTCGCAACTGGCATAGTGTCCGATGGTGCCCCCAGTTTGGTGTTTACCGTTTGTTCTCTTTTGGTTTCCCATTCGATTGTGTATGTGTGTGTTTCGTCGCTGGTAACCTAGACACCGGCGCCCATTTGAATCCCCATTTCGAGACGCACCCATAGCAGCCACAACAGGGGGGGTCCATGTCTTCATTTGTTAGGGCTCATTGAAAGCAGTTGACAAGAATGACCGAGTCCGGGGTTTGGGAACAGGAAGGAGCAGCAGCAAGAGAACTGGAAAAGCGCTGCGCAATTCGAGGGACGCCAATTTGAATCATCCCCACCTCCGGCACTGGATTCTGGGGCGCAGGTCCAAGAGCAGCAGTGACGCCTTGAAGAATTGCTTCGAGCAGGCGAATGGATCGAGCTGAAGCTTCAGCGTTTCGGGTGGATTCCGGAGCAAAGATTTCCAAACTGGGTTTACCCAATTCCAGAGAAGGTTTGGATGTGGCTTTTCTTCGATCCAACCCATGTTGGATATTGAAAGAGTATTAAAAGATCCCTAAGAAAGGACCAACAGGGGAAAGACAAAAAAAAACATCTGAACTTTTTCCCCAGCTGGAAGCTATCCGCAGTGAGGTCGGGTTCCGGAGGCTTCCAGCAAGTCCCTCTCTGGATACCTGGGCTGATGCTTGCACTTCAAATGGTCTTAAGCTGAAAGTCCGAGCAACACAGTGGAGTTGGCATGGTGTTTCTGTTTCCTTGATTCCAATGCCGTGCCAAAGGACGTCGCCCCCAGGGGTCGACGAACCTAACGAAGAGGTCGGTTCCGGTGGGTTTGCTCTTACAGGTAGGTCGATTCCCGAATGCCCCAAGCAGACTAACAACACATTATGAAGAAGAAAAACAACTACTTGCAGTATTGGGCAAGATGGAACCTTCCCTGTGCGATGTTGTGAGAATTATGTATGTACCAGGACTAGCAACCAGCTTAGACGGCCACCACAATCCGAGCATCATGTAGCTGGGAGGGGCATTAGTTTGCCCCCAAGATCTGCTTGCTCCCCTTTGGCTTCCCATATGCAGCACCAAAGCGGAGTAGTCTCCCAGAAACAAGCCGCCGCATTGCGAAACTCGCTCAAGGACCTAAATGCCAAACTTCGAAGGGACAAGGGCCATCGCCAGGTGACACAACAGATCCTGCAGGAGGAGAGATGCGACACTGCGTGTGTCGAAAAGTACTCTTCTCGCTCTGCCCAGTAGATTCCGCCCCCTTTTTTTCAACTTTTTTTTTGGGGAAAGGTTCCCTTTTAAACTCAACCAAGCGAAAAAGGATGCTTTTTTTTCCAAGGCCACTGTGCATTTGAGTTCAGCTTGGTTTAAGGGAACCAAAGCCTGGCTTCTCATTGAAATATCCTGGGATCCAGTGAGATGCCCTTCAAACAACAACACAAAAAGAAGACCCTTCAAAACAAAAGGATTGGGTTTGGAGAACCAGCCAGGCGTTTTTCTTCCATGGGGTTCAACTAACTATGGAATTTCTTCCGGGCCAGCTTGAATCAAGTTTCCTGGTGGGTGACATTTACTGAGACAATATGGCTGTGAGTTGTTTGAGAGGTTGTTGAAAAGGGAACCGGCCATTGTGGGGGTTCCCTTGTTTGAGACAGAGTGGTTTGGAAGAATTCATTGAAAGTGGCTGAGTGCCCGATTCGCCGAATGCCCCTCCAAGTGCCTTTTATCTAGGTTTCAGATGCCCTGACTGATCTGGATGCCCATCAGGTTTCTTGGGGACCTGGCAATAGCCATGGCCAATCTCTTGTGGTCCTCAATCAGCCGTTGCCTTGCTGTTTCCCTTTTCGAACAGATCGAATCGCACTTGAAGGGACCCTATTTCATCTCGTTTCCCTCTATTCGACACAGGGTGGCTTTAAATTATCAGGTTGGGACTTCCGAGAAAAGCTGCGCGAAAACGGGGACTGAATCAGGACATCATGCCGTGGCTGTCCACGGAGATTCCGCAATACATGGCCAAGCTTCTCGGCTTATCCAGCTCCCTGGGCTCCCTACCCTAAGAGTCCTTCGCTACCTCCTGATGGCTTTTGGGGGCTGAAAAGCGGTCCTTTGGCACCTGGTACCAAGGGACCCTGCAGGCTACATATACATCCCATGTTGCTGGTCAACCTCATCTTTGTGTTGCCCTTTCAAGGAGAGCTTTCTCTAAATGGGGTGATGTCTAAATGAGAAATACGGGAACACTCAATTGGAACTGGCGGTTTTTGTGCATATCTTTAAACGGAATGAACTACGGAGGACCCCGCTTCTACACATTCAGCTAACAATAAGGCACAAATGGGCAGGAAGGCTGGCCGTTTGGGGGTTGGCTCAAAAAACATACGACAACCCCCACAACGGATGCTCTTGGACACTCAAACACCACTTTAAAATATAAATATTGTGAAGTGGTTTCCCATTTGGGGCACTTTCAGTGTCCAGGCACAGAGACATAGGTGGCATTTTTAGGTTTGGTTGAGAAGCGATGACACCGGGTGCAGGTTGGTTATACTAATTTGCCAGTGCCATCTATTTCACAAAAGGAGACCTGTGGATGGATCTTGTCCCCAAAAGAAACCTATGGTGAATGGATCCTGCACCCAAGAAGCCCTGGAATGATCATCTGCTTCCCAAAAAGGACAATGAATGGATCCTGCACCACCCAAGAAGCCCTGGAATGGTTCAACCCTGGAATCTTGGTGGCTTCCAGCCATCCCCTTAGCCTTTTGGCCTTTTTGTCTTTAGTGGTAGTTTCCGTTTAACCCACTAAAAGTTAAACCTTTAGCGGGGGATCTGAGGGCAGCCCTGGAATGATTCCCCTGAACCACCGAGGAACGGTTTTCCAGTGCGCCCGAATCTCGTCCGCTCTGCCTCGCGAGGCGCCGTGCGAGGCAGCGGCTGGCCAGGAGACCAACCGACGCAAACCGAGCTCGCGGATGGGGTTTTTGCGCCTATGGTCGCGGGTACTTTGGAGACTCAAAGTGCCCTTGAAAATGGGACATCACCCCATGATGTACGGGCAATATCCCATTTGTGAGGGCAGGTTGAGGGTGCAGGTACCCTGAAAAAGCACTCATCCATATCTTTCTTCCCGTGGCGATGGTGTTTTATCTTCGGCTTTTCAAGTGAGGAGAGAAGCGGTCGAGATCCCCGTCAAGCAGGTGGGACCAATTCGTCGATGTGACGTCACCTTGGCGTTCAACTCGCAGTGGCAACTAGACAAACGAAATCAAACGAACAAACCAATCCGGAACAAAGAAAGGCTCAACGTGTTAGGCTTTCTGAAGTTACCTGCAGTCTCCATGGCCCTTCAAAGATGGGGTTGCCCAAAACGAAAGGGAGAATGCTTCATTTTTACAGGGTCATGGACACCCCAGGAATACTCTTGTTGGCCTTAGTTCAAGAGAAACCAAAGGACAACCACCCACTAAGGGGATCGACGTTGTAGCCACGGATTATGGGAAAAGGAGGGTCAGTTTGACCCCCTGGTTGTGAGTTCTGCATGTTTATCAAAACATGATCCATAGACTATGTACTGGACTCTCCGGCAGAACCTCAAATGACTCTGAATACTTGCTCCACCTACACCAAAAGCAGGGTCATCTTCCAAAGCTTCCCTTTCAAAGAATACCAGGACCCTCAAACTGACCCCAAAATGGGACTCTGAGGGCAGGTGTTGAGAGTCCCAAGAGAAACCATCTCAGCACTTGAGATTGCTTACAGGGATGTACCTCATTCTTGGAACCCGCCAATTTGGTTTACAAAAGGAGATCGGTCTCCCACCAATTAACATGGAACCTGACAGGGGGGGTCCTTGGAAAGGAAAATGGTCTTCCAGGACCCCCCTGTCAGGTTCCGTATGAATTATTTGGTGCATTTTGCTTGGATGTTAGGACTTGAACTTCTTGCCAACTAATGGGTTTTCCATTAAACCACTAAAAGTTAAACTTTTAGCAGGGGAGCAGAAAGCAACCGAGAATTGGTGGGAGGGCAATTGTTTATTTATTCACCGCCAGGCGGTGCCAGAGCCTGTGCCACCCCCCAGTCCTGTGCCGGTGCTCGCCGCGCCCTCGCCCACCTCGCCCTCGCCGGCGTCGCCAACGAAAGGCGGGCAGCACCACAGGAGTCGCCGGCCGTGCAACGTTTTTTCTGGTTTTGGAGACCTGGAGACCCCTTGGCGAATTACTGCAGAGTTGTTTTTTGTTAAGAACCCTTGGTTACTGCAGATTCTTTTTGAGACCCCTTGGTTTTCTGAGAAATGCTGGTCTGTGTCATTAGCTGACCGCCCCCCCCCCCCTCCCAGAGATGCGTGTTGTTCTTGCAGAGTTTCCCTCTAAACCGAAGGGTGCCAACTCTCCCAGGCTTCCGGCTGGCGGAGTCACTGCTGGTGGCCGGGGCGGAGTTCGGACAGCCACAGACGCAGAGTATTTGATTGGGATTCGGGCCGCGCCCAGCTGACGTGTACAAAGCGAATCGACCAGATCTGATCTGTTTGTGTTTTTTTCCCCCCCTTCTTTTCTGACATCCATTTTTAGTCAGGATTCCAAATAAGCACCTTTGAATTTCCGGCCTTGGCCGGGAAGTGAGCAACCTGATTGCGATTTGGGCGGTTGCTGGACTTCCATCGGCACACTGTGCCTTCGGAAGACGGTGGCGCTGGGGTTAATCCCATTCTTTGAAGGCGGATAACGAGACCGCCGGGCGAAAGGAGCCACTGCGGCGTAGCCGCCGGCCAAATGAAGGGGAGAGGGCTGGGAGGGATCAAGCTCACCAAGATGGGGGGCAATTCAGTCCGTATGTACGTTCCTTTAAAGGGATCTACATATTACGTTTCTGGCCATTTGAACAAAGGTCCTTTTCCTGCGATCCATTTGCCAGGGGTCAAAGACCAACCGAAGCTGCTGGCTTGTCACCCAACCCAAGCTGGAAATTGGCGAGCCTTGGTGGCTGAGCTTGAGTTCTTGAGTTGTGTTTGGTGGGTTAATGTTTAAGGCAGAACTTAAATGATTCTTAGGAACCCGACTCCCTTTGCAACGCCCATGTTTATTCTGTACCTGGTGGATATTTGATGGGACAAGTAGAAGGTCTTCACACACCTGTGCAATGAACCGGCAAGTCAATCGGTGCTGGCTGCCCTTCTTCTTTTGACAATTCTAGAGTTTGAACCCTCGTTATTGTGACCCCTCGCCAGAAGTCCCTGGAAAGAACGTGGAGGTACCCTCGCTGAGCCACCTGGTAGCATTTGGTAGCCCTAGAGTCCCCTTCCCAAAGCCTGGCATCCCCTGAGGGAGGGTACAGCAAGGACGACTTAGGTGTTTGCTTGAACAGAGCATACCTGGACCCTAACACCATCCACAACGATGTGCTATTGTCCTAAAATAATAGGATCATGTCCCATTTGTAAGGGCAGTTTTAGATTTAAGTTCTGGACCAGAAGCCCAGCCTTCCCCCTTTCCAACGGCATCGCGGCTTTGACCACATCTTCGTTCCAGGGGCTCCAAGCCCCAAGATGAAACCACAGGTCTGGGTTGTGTCTTTTTTGAGGCTACCCCCAACCAAGGGGAAATCGGATTTGTTGGGTCCCATGCTTGCGCTTTCCGGGTACTTGCGCCCTCAAACCCCTAAACATGGTATATGGTCCCAGACTACTAGGTGAAATTTCAACATGTTTTTAGGGTCGCTTGAGGGAGGTAGCTTTCTACCCGCTCTTTGGAGCAACCCTGTCCGGTCAGAACGGCCCCTTCAAAAGGAGCCTTCGTCCCTGCCACGGGCCCAAGACGGGCGTCGGGCGTCACAAAAAGGACTCGTTCCTGGACCGGTCCTGCCATTTGCTTCTTTTGTTTTGAGTTTGTTTCCCTTTTAAATGTTACTTGCCAAAAAGGGTGCCCTTTGTTCCCCAACAGCTGAAAGCTCGGGCGGGTGTTTGTGCCCGGAGTGGTAGAGCTGCACGCTAAGGTTCTGGAAGAGGTTGGGGATACCACCTGGGCTTTTTTTTTGGAGTGGGTTTCGCCTGGCTGCAAAGCGATAGGTCCGATAGGGGACTCTCCAACTTGGCAACGTGCTTTCCGTGAGCAGGACGTGTTTGATGCCTGTGGGATGTGGCTTGCCATGGCCCGAACGGTTTCCCTTTGGTTTCCCCACCGAGCTTTGATCACCAGGCTTCGATTGCGCGTCCCATGGCAACTGCCTCAGGCGCGCCCTCGCAGCCGTTTGGCCGAAACAAAGGCAAAAAAGCGGGGGATGGCAAACGTGTCGATCCGTCGACGAACAACATTTGTTGTCAGGTATCGACTTGACGAAATCAGAGACATATCCAATGTGGGAGAGTTCCACGGATCCGGCAGAAAAGACACTAATGTTGGTTGGAGCATGCAACATTGACCAGTGTTGAATAACAATGCATTGATATTGCTCATCTAATAGTTGCCACATTGGACATGTTTCAACATGTTATGATGGATTTGGATGGGAAGATTCAGTTTTTTGACGAACAGCATGCTGTGAAACCACGAGCAATGAGAAGTTCCTGTTTTGGGAATATCCTAGACCAGACCCAGGAAGTCCCTTGATAAGCCATCCTTATGAAGTACCAAGGGACAATCCCAGATTGTTGGGGGAGCTTTGGGACTACTTGGAGGGCTCCAGCAAGTGGCCTGTGGCTTCTAGTCTGATTTTTGCGGCCCCAAAGGTGTCAGGGCTTTCCGTGACGCGCATGGATCCAGATGAGGCGCGGCTTGTGGATGGTAAGGCACACCCGGAATGACTGGGGAGACCCCACTATGAGGTTGGAAGAAATGCAGTAGATCTACGTGGGAGGGTGAGGGACGTGGGACTTTGAATATCCCACACAATCTCGAATCGAAATATGTCCACTTCTTAAGTCCACGGGTATAGCAAATGCAGCAAATGTTGATTGCACATAATTATGAGAGGCTTTTAAGTGCGGTCCTGGCACCTTCGACAAAATGCTTTTGACTGCTCCCCTTTTTACGGAAAATGCAAGCCAAGGGGAAGCTCTGTTTTGTGGACCTTTGTCTTCCCCGCAGTGGGAAGGCCACTCGAGGACCTCATGAAACGGTTAGTAGACGTCTAGACGTCTAGGATACACCTTGCTAAGTCGGCAACAAGCAGTGAGTATTGGAAGTAGGGGGTATATTCAGGTAGCCCCTAGGATTGGGGTTTGGGATTGGTTTTGTGGGATTTAAACCCCTGACTCTTGTAGAGAAGAGATGGGAACCCACCTAACCCAATTACAAACCCAAATCACCAGCTACAGCAAAACTAATACATGCACTCGATTAGTAAAGGGTACCGGAATAATAGAAAGTTGTTTTCCTTATTATGGTTCACACCCATTGTTTAAGGGGACCACAATAATAGAAAGTTTTTTTGGCCAGGGGGAAAATTCAAAAAAATCTCCACAAAGCAAATTTAATTTAACAAAAAACAAAACATCCCCCCCCCCCCCCAAACAATCACACAAAATCCATGTTGACCCCATACCAAAAAAGCATTCCCCTTTCAATTGGTGGCCCACTTGCTTAAAAGCATCCCCTTTCAATTGGTGGCCCACTTGCTTAAAAGCATTCCCCTTTCAATTGGTTGCTCAACCACAGAACCCAAAGCCAGCTGAAACTCTGAAATTTGAAAACCATCCCCAGCCCTGAAACTGCAAACTCTTTACTAAACCGTGCTAAAAAATTGCCAAACAACAATCAGGACAAGGGTACCCCTCACAGACCCCACTGAACCACAATCATGTGATTGTTTTAGGGGACGACCACAATAGTGGCAAGCCCCCAGCCCCCCCTCCCAGAAAATACACTATCACTTGCTTTGCTCAAAAGCATTCCCCTTTCAATGGGTGGCCCACTTGCTTAAAAGCATCCCCTTTCAATTGGTGGCCCACTTGCTTAAAAGCATTCCCCTTTCAATTGGTTGCTCAACCACAGAACCCAAAGCCAGCTGAAACTCTGAAATTTGAAAACCATCCCCAGCCCTGAAACTGCAAACTCTTTATTAAACCGTGCTAAAAAATTGCAAAAAAACAATCAGGACAAGGGTACCCCTCACAGACCCCACAGAACCACAATAATGTGATTGTTTTAGGGGACCACAATAGTGGCAAGCCCCCAGCCCCCCCTCCCAGAAAATAAACTATCACTTGCTTTGCTCAAAAGCATTCCCCTTTCAATTGGCGGCCCACTTGCTTAAAAGCATCCCCCACTTGCTCAGGAAGAAGTGGTTGCAATACTAAAGTAGAATTGCAAAAAGGAAGTGGCTGCAATACTAAAGTAGAATTGCAAAAAAGAAGTGGCTGCAATACTAAAGGAAGTCGCTGCAATACCAAAGTAGAATTGCACGAAGTGGCTGCAATACTAAAGTAGAACTGCAAAAAGGAAGTGGCTGCAATACTAAAGTAGAATTGGGCCCCAAAACCCTCCATTGTTTGGACGTCCCAAAAGTGCACCCCCATTGTTTTGGCGCCTCAATTGTTCAGGGGGGGGGCGGTCCTTTATTAATCAAGTGCCAACATTATTAGATACTGTACATATATATATATATATATATAAAATAGATGGCGTGTGCCTTTTAAGGTACGCAGTCCTTTGTAAAAGGTGGAAGTGCGACTTGCGCGAACCATACCCCCGAACCTAAATACATTTTGCCAATTTGAAACATGGCTTTTTCCACCAAAATAAAAGGGACACCTCCATTTACAAGGCAATGTTCAGGTGTATAATGTAAGGATCCCTGTATATGTCGTCACCCCCTTTTTCATGATCCACTGCGCCTTCGCCCGGCTCAGGTGCAGCGCTTGCTGCAGGCGGCCTATGGCGAGGAGTACGGGAAGACGGGGCATCAGCTGGCAGGGCACACGGCCATTGCCCCGGCCGATTGGGCGATTCCGTCGACACGTGGGCCTGCGGTTTTCCATTTTGTGCCTCCTGTTTCTGGGGAATCACCTAAGGTACCAATCATCTGCAAATTTTACTATCCCAAGAGCTGAATTAAGGGATCCCCAAAAGATTCTGCATCACGGCGAGCTCAGTATACCCAAGGCGAGCTCGCTCTAAAATGATTTCTGGGGGAAGTTTCTCTTTGAAGTCAACCGAGAAAAGAGGAAGCCTCCCACCATTTAACATGGAACCTGACGTTCGAGCATCCTTTAGGAACGTGGTCCAAAGGCTTCCCTTTTTCTTCCCCAGGACTTGGCTTCTAGGTAGGGCCTAAAGGTTGCTGAAGAAGGCAGTGCTTGTTTATTCCCAATTTAACTCAATCTTGATCATTCAGGCCCTCAAACATTCTTATTGCATGACGTGCGAAATTTGTTCGACTTTGCCGGAACGCCTTTGTTTTTGGCGGCAAACAATTTCGAAGGCGTTTGGCACAATATTTCATGGAGTATATATATATATATGGATACATAATATGTATATATATATGTATATAGCTATACACATTATGGGTTTTCCCGAAAGAACATGAACAGCAACAACTAGCGAACCAGCTAAGGTCACTTCAGGCAAACCAAATAAAATCCGTCAAAACTACCATGTGCAAATAGAATCAATATGATTTTGCCATACTGTGGCTGGACAAGATCAACTTCACACCAGACGGCCTGTCCCAAGACTCGGGTTTCATCCAACAGGTGTAGGTCTTTGTCTTTCCACCATAGACATTTCAGATTTGTTTCTGTTTGGTTCCTGATCATGTACTAGTGGAATCCATCTATGTTTCTAACAGTTCAACTAAACGGGGCTCGTGCGACATGCGCGGATTGGGGAAGCCCGTGGTATTATTTGCCTTGTTTGGATCAAATACCACAAAGGGGTACACTCAAAAAACACCTCCATATCTGTCTTTTGTTGACCCGGTTTTGGGGGTTTTTGAGGGAACCCAAAGCGAAAACCACCATTTGTGGGGGGGTCCATTGTTTTAAGACACCCCCATATCATATGTGACCAAGGCATCCTTTGTTTTCAAGCGTACCCAGGTGGTAGCCGCGGAGGACGTTGCCAGCGCCTTTCAGGGGGGAGGCAGCAGCCTGCTCTACGGCACCTCGATGCGCTGAAGTTTTCTGTGCAGGCAACCAAGGAAAACCAGCCATGGTAACGTAGAGGTACAAAACCTTACCTACCATAGTGGCAACTGGAGGCACTGGGCATGGGTGTGCCTTTTCTTTGAGGGGACCCCTTGCTGGGTTGGTTTTGAAGGGAAACCGAAAGGAAACCAGACATTTTGGCGGTACTATCCACTTGGACATGGGGGAACTCACCAAAACATTAAAAGCAAAAATCACACACGAAAAGCAAAAACACAGAGGAGTCAGCTTGCATTGTCCCATGTGGGAAACAAAGTTTGGCAGGTCCCATGTGAGCAACTGGAACTACTGGCGAGTGGGGCGAATTAGAGGGGCGCCGGTGTTGATGACTCAAGATTGCAACCCTCTTTTTCAAGATGGCTGGACAAGCGAAACTCAAAGAGAGAAACAATCTGACGCACAAAGCCTTTATCCGTGTTCCAAACGTGAATGTGTATTTTTTTTCAAAGGGACATAAGTCAAAAGGAGTCCATTTTGATGGGTCCCCAAAGACGTGGGCACAGCCATTTCATCCATAGAGCTTCGACCCTCCGGTTGGTCGCTTCGAATCAGGTGTTCAGGTGTAACCGTGGGTGCTTAATATTGGCCCGGTTGATCTTTCAAACCGGAAAGGGGTGCCCCTGCGCTGTTGTATGTAGGGGAAGGTAATTAGCTGTTTACAGCTGGGCATAGGACTCATGCCAATGGGGCCCCCCCCGTTTTTGTCGGGTTGGAATCTGACTGGCGTTGGGGTCGATAGGGCCAAAGACGCCCGGGGGTTCGCAGCAGCCTCGGACTTTTCTGGAGGCTTCAAGCGGGCTGATTTGTTTCTCCAGTTTCCGCACCCGACATTTGCGAATAGCATGGTGCGACGTCAAAATCCAAGTAAGTTTGGGCAAAATCGGGAAACTGTTGTGTTGCTGCAAAACAAGCGACTGCCTTTGTTTACAGAAGACGACAAAACAAATGGCCGGCCAAGTAACTGTGTAGGCTTTTGTTGTTTGAGGTATGTTTCGAAGTTCGAAATGAGATATGAGCCACGGTCAACACATGCGATTGCCATAACGAACATGGGAACAATGGTGAATCCTCCCCATTGGCAAACGCGGTTGAAATTCAGCGAGTCCACCATGGCACAAAATGGGCATCTCCCCCAAAAATGAAGAGTTCCTTGTGGTTTCCCTCTGCAACCATCTAAGAGAGGGTCCCTCACTCCAAACGGGCTTTCTTTTTCGAGGGCATGTGGGCCTTACGTCTCCAGATAAGTATGGGGGCTAGTTGTTCAACCCTTCAACCCGTGAAAACGGGGGATCGTTTTCAAAGTACAGATTCCCGGCGCACGACGTCACGAGGCGAGCTGCTCCCGGAGGGTGTGGAGCGACTCCGCGAGGTCTTTGAGGAGAGTGATTCGCAACCGGTGACCCAACTTGACAAATGCTGGACATGTGGACGAAATCCATTTCGCACCGTTTAGAAACCCTGGTTTCATGATTCCCCTGTAAATACCAAAGAACAATTGTTTCAACCATGGTTTCCAGTGGTGCAAGATTTCGTGCATCCACAGCATCACTGAATTCTGGGGGCAGTATCCCATGTTTGAGGGCGATGCTCCAAGCATACGAAGAGAAACATGTGCAGAACCAAGGTGAACGGCAAACTGGAGGGTTTTCGTGGCATCTGTAGCTTCGAGCCGGTCATCCTTGTGCCATAGTGCTGTCTTTCGGATAATTATGGGACAAGGCATGCACCCTTTGTCGAACCAAAGATTTAGTTCAGCCTTTTTGCCCCTCGTCATCCCTAAGGACCCTTTGAGGATGGTTTTCGGGTGTTCAAAGTACATCCTTAGAAGGTATGAGGGACCCTTAGGGCATTGGCCACAATCGGCGTGTCAGCTTTACAAAATGTCCCTTGTGGGCTATTGAAAAAGCTGAGGTCCCATCCAAATTGTGACCAGGGTGTCTCTTGACTCGCACAAGGGTCTCATCCCCTTTTGGGGCAAGAGGCACTGTCTCCTGTAAAGTCCATCCTTCCAATTCGTTTTGTGAAATTCACGCGCAGGCTAGCCGATTTGTATCGCTGAGCGGAAATCAAAGGGGCCCGCAGGGAGGACGCTCCAAGTTGGACCAGACACCCACATTTCCGACACAAAGAATGCAGCCAGCGCCTCTAAAATGGTGTTCTTCGAACATTTGTTGCAGGAGGGTCTGTGGCTGATTCGCTTACACTTAGAGAAGCCGTCTACATTCCCCCAAATACCTGCTCAATACCACAACCTTTGGTTTTTTCTCATGTCGTATCTCCTGCTGGCTCAAAATGCTGTCGGCGAATGCCCGCGCTCTGGATGTGCAAGAGCCCCCCGACCCGGCCATTTGAGGTGGTTCTACCTGAGGCCTAAGTAAACTTTTTGGAACATCTTAGAATCAAAAGTCAATGGGGTTTTGGGCGCTCACCTGACTTCATTTGTTGAGTGTCTCATGAGAGGGTAATTCCAGAAGCACCTGTGCTCCCTGTTGCGCGTATTAAACAAAACACCTCAAGGGCAGCCCGGTATCACTCATCGAACCCGGGAGTTGCGAGACCATTTTAATACCGAGCCTGACCCTTCCACAGCCTCAGGGCGGGGAAAAGGTCATGTTTCACCGTGCCTTATGTGATCAGTTTCACCAGATGCTTCTGAACCCAAATTGCAGTTTGATGTCTCCGCGGCGCAAGGCTCATTCACAGCAATGAACATACAAGCTCCAGGTGGCCATTATTAGACCAACTTGGTTCTGGGACTCCACTTGAACTGCAGTTTGGTTGGATCTTGAACCGTCCGTTGGTGTTTTCCCACCCAACTCAAAGGTTTGCTTTATGCAGAGCTGCCTCACCTTCAAGTCTGCCGGACTCATGGCTTTGCGCCGCCTGTGCCTTGCGAGACCACAATTTCAGGCGCTGCGGGCGGCGAGATTTCAAGTCCGCCCGCGCGCTGACGGGGAGCCCCACTTGGATATAGGGAGTCGATTTGGCCAAGTGCTGAAAGCGGAGCAAGAGGGGGATATGAAGGAGATGGTGGCCAGCGCGAAGGAGGTCATTCAGCTGGGTAAGGCGCTGTTAGATCGCTCGTCAGATCAGTCAACTGGCTCCCTTGAACAGGCCGACGTAAGGCAGAAGATGGGCTTGGCTCACTTCAAGCTGGGGCACGTACATGACAAGCACGAGCATTTGGGCGAAGAGGGACACTTCCAAAAGGGCCTGGAGTATCTGAAAGAAGCCGCACAGGAAAGAGGCAATCTTCAGGACCGCGACTTGTTGTTCCCAGTTTGTCACCTCCGGGTTTCTTCAAGAAGTTGATGATCCGCGCAAAAGGATTCGGCGTTGTGCCTGTTCAGGAACCCTCGCGTTTGCTGAGTTTAGGTGGGTATGTGTAAACAAATGAAGGAAAGGGGTGGGACTTGGAGCCACTTTTCCATGGAAGGACTGGTTCAATCTCATGTCCATTGCCGCCTGCGCGGGCGATGCCATACAAAGCCAAGCTGCTTTTGAACAGCTGGAGGGGCTCTTTGCAAAAAGTGAAGAGGACCCGGCGGCAACAAACGACACGCCAACAGGGATACCCTCCCCGGAGGTTCCGCGGGAGCAGAATCCGTATCTTTGAGTAGCTCAGTGGCTCTTTTTAGTGAGCATGTTGAGGGCTTCAAAATGACTTGGGTGGTGTTTCTGTTAGCCACCATTTAGCTCGGGTGATTTTGTGGATGTTACTGGAATGTTGTCTGGCTTGCTGCGATCGCCCCTCCTTTCTTGACCACTAAAGGTTTGGCATGGAAACCAAGTCTAGTCTCCGATAAAATGCAGGTTGTCTCATTGTCTCCGATGAAATGGATGATGTCCCCCCCTAAACAGGCGGTGTCCGTGCGGGTCTTTGTTCGGAACCGCCACCAAGCATGAGTGAGTGGTACCCAGGAGAACACCATCTCCCTTTTGACAAGCCAAAGATAGCCCCCCGCACGCCGACAGGGGTCTGTTCTGAAATGAATGTGAGGAACTCTACGAAATAGTTGGCTTCCTTGGTTGTTTGGGTCGTCATGGGCCTTCTTATTTGCCCAAGTTACGAGGACTAGACATTTGGTGTTCTTAGCTTAGTCGCAGTCTGTCCACCAATGGAAGTGGACAAGCCACCTTTTCAAGTTAAAAAGCCTGAAAAAACGCGTCCTGTCCACTTCCAGGATGCTTGGACAGATGGTAATTTACTCACCATTTGAGGTCTCTCAGAACCTTCCCAAATTTAGAGTTATGACTCATGGATATTTGTTGGGGGGGTCGTGTGTTGCAGTTTTGCAACCCGAAGGAGTTCCTACCCTGGCCGCAAGTGCTGCAATACCACGTGTGCGCCCTGCGCGACGGCCAGTGCTATGGGGCGGCCTTTGGGCAAGTCGAGCGGATGCGGCAGATCTATCAACAGCTGGGGATAACTGAGACCTGGCGAGCACAACTCGGCAACTCCAAAGCAAACTCAGGTGGAACTCAAGAAGTTGCCCCAAAAGGAGGAATTCTATGATACTCTGAAGGAGTGTGCAACCGGGATCCGGCCACCATAGTTCAGAGAACCTGTTGAGCGGATTCGATTTTAAACGGGTGATGGGCTTGCACAGGTGGGTCTGCTCCAAGACTCTGTATGGTCCAGATTCATTCTGAACATATGCTTGTTTGGTGTACCAAAGGCCCCAGATTTGGCCACAGTTTAGGGGTGCAGACAAACTTGGGATTTATCAGTGGTGATGCTCTAGATTGGAGACACTGTTGTCGTAGGTGCCTTGTTTCTTTTAGTTTGCCTCAACATTCATGATTCCACTTGTTTCAGTTTGCAGGTCTGCGGTTCTTGCAAAGGGCTGCTGCCACCGAATTACAACCAGTGGTGCTTCTGATAATAAAAGGCTAAGGTCCTGTGATAGTTTTATGCTGGACTTTCAGCCAAGGCGGTCGATGACAGCTGAAGAAAACACAATTTGGAACAAGCCAACAGTTGGGAGGGGTTCAAAATGATGGCAGCGCCTTGATGGTTACACTTCTATAGGGGATCTTGTTATTTTCCAGAGAGAGGCTGGCAATGTTTATGTTACCCACAGCTGAACTGACCCTCGGGTGTTTCAGTGTAGGTGCCCGAAAGAACTACCCATAAAATTGGTCGGCAACCGCCCGATACTTTGGGTTGGCAAGGGAATATTTCTGGGTGCCTCGTGGTTCTTTCGGGTTCAGGTTCTGAATGAGCAGTTTGCCCAGTGGTGCCCATTGTACTTTTCAAGTTTGAGGCTCCCATAATCAACCAGCATACATTGAGAGCCCCCGCCTGTGAAAGGTGGGTGCCCATTTTCAATCAACAAACACAAGCGCAGGACGCCACTGGGGCTTCTCAAAATAGTGCAAAAAAGCTTGGATTTCTTCTGGTTACCAACCAAAAGGGATAACCCTTTTTTGAACATCCGCTGGGCAAGAGAGGATACTCACTTCCTCTATATCCGCGGGGTGCCCTTTTTCTCTACCTTTCTGGAGCTCGCTGAGACTGTCATCAAGCCACTGCCAGACGTCGAGTGGAATCTTACTTGCAAGCAAATGGAACGGATCTGACATGTTGCGTTCCCTTCCTGGTCCATTATTAACCGTGCTTCCAGTTGTTTTTGCTGCGCTGGGTTTTCCCTGTTGGTACATTATAGCTATGATTCCAAAAAGTGATATTCTCGTTGTTTCCGCTTGGTCCATGATTAGTCATGCATGGCAATGGTTCCAACAAATAGTTGTGTTTTTTTAGTGTTGGTCCCTGTTTGGTCCGTGTTCCGTTGATTGTTGGCTCCAGTCTCTGGCGGCTCCGAGGAATGCCTGGCTCGATGAACTCGCCAAACACGTGGATGACGAGGGAAAGCAGAGCATCGAAGAGGCACGGGACGAGTAGTGAGCGGCTCGCAGCTCGCGCGGAAACCGCGCCTGCGAGAAAGCGTGAGCGAAAAGCGCGCGGCTGGCTTTCACCAGAAAGCGTACCCCGTACGCCAAGTGCCCACTGTTTGTTTGGGGTATCATGTTAGCCACTGACTAGACGAATGAGGTATTATTTACTATTAAAAAAAAAGCCTGGTTGATCCAAACAGTGGGTATTTGGAGTAGGGGGTATGACTTACGGGGTTGCTCTACCACATTTTCCTTGCCATATATTTGGCTTGCTTTCATTGAGTATACCACATTTTTCTTGCCATATTTTCCTTGCCATATATCGTTGTACTATAAACGTATGTTGAGTTTACCCTCATTGTCTCTACATTTCAGTCTTATGTTCCTTACATTCGACACTTATGTGCTTTAATGTTTACTCTCTAAGGTTACTTTACGCGGAAAAAAAACTCATGTAGCTGTTATGTTATCCAAAGTCAACTCTTCTTATTCCCCAAATTCAGCTCGTGTCCGATGCAAGCCTCCCATTTTGTATGTAAGCTACTGCTATCTACTGCTCGTTTTGAAGTTAAACTCTGCGTTCCCCACTTTAACTCTTTGTTCCAAGCAATTAATTGAGTTATCGTGTAATGTAGGAAGTGAGAAAGAGACATGATGCAGTGATACAACGAGACAGCACTTCTTTGTGGGCACCCTTGGCAGCGCTTGAAGCTTGCCTGCCTGGAACGCCTGATGTGATTCTGGTGATTGGACTCACGGGTCCTGCTGCGTGATTCGAGGGGGCCAGCTCAAACCGGCCGAACATGCAACATCATCATTATTTGTATAACCTATGTCAATGTCAGCGCGCAAAGAGTGGCTGGCCAAGATGAAAACAACAGCTAAGTTGAACTTGAAGCACGAGACAAAGACACTTTGAAACCAAAAGTTCTCTCAATTAAGGGCTAACGTTTACAATGCATAATGATGGGTTGATGCTTGCAAACAACGTAGCCAATCAGTGAAAGTTAGATAGTTCCTCGAAAAAAGAAAGAACTAAATGTTTTAACGGTGTGCACACGAGAGTTCAACTTTGGAAGCTATAAGATCCAAATGTGCAGACATAGGGGTCAACATTGAAACCAGCAAGAGTCATTGTTGGCAAAGCAAGAAGGATTTGGAGGAGTAACATTTCATTCCGGAATCGCACAAGTATCATGAGTCGATGAGCAACGAACAGCACTTGAGTCAGAACCCACAACATATGACTCAAAGTAGACGAAGAAATAAGATTCAACTTTGGAGAAAGCACAGCGCATGACGAGTGGGTTAAATAAACGTATGAGTAAGCGTCAAAGGACATAAACACAAGTTAGACAAAACTGAAGCTTGACTTTGTGCGGGTCTGAAAACATGATAGAGCAAATCCATAAGGTGTGGCATGAGCAACAAGCCGAGGCTTTAAAGAGGATGTACGGCAAGACTTGGCAAACAAGGGAGATGGACATCGCCAGCGTGGCAGGGGATCGGGGACTAACGGGGGCTTGGATTCTTTTCGGTTATTCTTTAAGCTGGGGAAGCCCAGCCCATTTCAGCCAGGAGGCCGAGAAGAGCCCCGGCCGCAGCTCCCTCGGCCGCGGACCCATCCTGGAGCTGGGGATGGGCACCGGGAAGGTGGCCATGCAGCTCTTCCTCAGCACAGGCTGTGGGTCAAAACCGTGTTGGGATCCCATTTTGGTTGGTAGGTGATTCCACCACCCATTTTAGAACCTATTCAAGTGGGGATTGGGATGTTCACTGGGGGTACGATTTGGCTTTGGACCCATGGCCAGGTGGGTCCTGACTTTCGATTGGTTTCGCTCGCCAAAATATGCATTTTTTGTTGGAGCCTGCAAGCGTTTTTTTGGGGGGGTCGGTCGCCAAAATATTTTCTGATGGTAGCAGGCGATGTTTGTGTTGCTTTTTTTTTGGGGGGGGGGCAAGGGGTCTGAGTACCTTGGAAAAGAAGGGACCCCAGAGGGTTTGTGTTTCGAGAGCGAATCGACTGACCAAGTCTGGTTGTCCCATCCATGGAAATGTGAAGGTGCCAAGAGGTGATCGCCTTTAATTTCTAGGTCCGTTCCTGGGCCTGCGAGTGTTTCGATTTCGAGGTTCCCATAGGGAGGCACCACAAAACCCCTTGCGAAGGGAGGCACCAACGGACCCTCTGAGGCTTCTGACATGATGGGAGCTGGAGCAGATCCATGTGGGTAAAGTGATTGTGTGTTTATTTTCTGCTGTTGGTTCACAATTCATGTATGTTTGTTTGTCGGTGTACCTTTTCAGTTTGGTGTGAAGGGCCGCCATAAGGCAAAAGGGATTCCTTTGATGCAGTTGTGTGGGAAAGGTGTAGATATTAGTGGCCAGCTTTTTGGCAAGGAGCACGTTGACTGACTAACCGTTGTTTTCCGGGGTTGTGGGAAATGGGACCAATTGGAAAAGGACTCGTAAGAATTGGGAACGTGGGGTTGGTTCCCGCTGCTGTAATATAAGTATGTACCAAAGAGCATCCCTTTGGGCACAATCAATGGGAATTTCTTACCCAAAAGGACCAGCCACATGGGTTCAGGCCCTTGGTAGTGCCTCCATTATAGGTAACCCAAAAGTTCGGAACGTCTAGCTCAAAAGATGGTTGCACCAGGTGTTTGTCCCCCAAACCAGGTAATTGGCTGCTCACCTCATCGTCACGTTTACTTCTTTGACACCATGGCCAAGGAGCCACCAAGGGCTCGCCCGAAAGAACCAAGCAGTTACCCCCAGCCCCCGCACAACTTGCTATTTCTCAGGGAATCGACCTTTTGTTTGGGGAATGAGCGGGAACGTTCCTTCGTTTCCTGAGAACTAGCAGGAACAAATCTGGACTTCAAACAGGGGGAACATCGAAATGGTTGGCTTTCCTTTCGGCTCTTTAAACCAACCCCGAAAAGGGCACCCTCAAAACAAGCACACACACACACACACACACACCCACCCACCCACCCACCCACCCACCCACCCACCCACCCACCCACCCACCCACGCACGCACGCACGCACGCACGCACGCACGCACGCACGCACGCACGCACGCACGCACGCACGCACGCACGCACGCACGCACGCACGCACGCACGCACGCACGCACGCACGCACGCACGCACGCACGCACGCACGCACGCACGCACGCACGCACGCACGCACGCACGCACGCACATGTTTGGAGTTTTATTGGAAAGGAAACCAGGCTCCGATTCCCATTTTGACACATGCCCAAATGGCCACATTTCGGCAGCTGGGAGGGGAGGGGAGGGGAGCTAGGTCTAAAATGGACACCAACATGAACATCAACAATCTTTGGGGCACCTCCACACAATCGAGAATGAGAAACAGACCGAAACCAAGCAATTCTGGGGCACCTCCCCAAAACTCGGAAGCAACAAGCAACAAAAGCAACGAAAACCCAAATGAACCAAATGACAACGGACATAGTTAGTATGTTAATATGCGAACAAGTGGAAACAAGAAAAGAAAAGCAACGAAACAACCACAAGAAGCAAAAACAAGAACAACAACCCAAAGAAAACAAGAATCCACCCACCGGACCACGGGGAAAAAACAAATCCCCGTGTGGCGAGTCGGGAGGCCGCGACGTCTTCGGCGTGGAGCTGGCGCCCTCCCGGGCCGCGCTGGGCTTCGAGGCGCTGAAGCGGCTGCAGCAGGCGGCGCCCCGCTTCCAGGCGGAGGTGTCTGGCGGGTTTTTTCAGGCGGAGAGGGGGAGCCAAACTTGGATTCTATAGGGATGTGTTTTTGTTTGGTCTCCGTTTGTTTTTTCCTTCTTGGGGTTGGAGAGACTTGGAACTTAGTTTCGTGTTTTGGTTTGATGTTTTTGTTTGTTTGTTGGTTGCGCGTTTGGGTGATTGATTCTAGGGCTGTTGATGGTTTGTTTTCCATTCTAGGGGATAGACAGGTTTGGATTATGGTTAGTATTTTGTGTGTGTGCTTTTGTTTTGCTAGTGTCCGTTCTTGGGGTTGATCGATTTCAGGTGGTTGTTTTTGTTTTTGGTTTCCGTGCTTGGGGTTGGACTCTTTTAATTCTGTTCAACTCTCAGACCTTTCAATCACCGGAAGTGTTTTAAAGAGGATAATGGCGGAAGATTACCCACTATAGGATTAGCTGGACCCACTGGGATAGGGACCCCAAAGTTGTCGGTTGGTGAATGATGCCAAATTTCATGGGTCAGGTCAGTTGGTTCGGGATTTGGGTGTTTTAAGGTCCTAAAAAAGAATAAGGTGTTTTTTACTCAAACTTAAGGGTTTGCCAAAACCAAAAAAAGAAAAGCTCAGATTTTGCAGCAAATCTCAAAGTGTACTATTGATGCCAGTTTCCTCGAAACAAGAATCAATTTGCTTTCTTTTTAGGGGACCCCGCCGTTTCTGCGCGCTAAGCCTTAGGGGTAAGACAGCTTGACGCGCCTGCTGAAAGGGGTTTGGGGTCGTCTAAACAGAAATGAGTCTTGGCCGCCAAGAGGAAAGGGCTTGAACTGTTTTTCGGGAATATCTTCACTATGAAGCCGCCTCTTCTGCACGAGCAAAGTGCGGTGTTCTTGAGCCCAAATTCTGCTCGTATTTTGGCTAGATTCTGGGCTTGCAATTGCAAGTTTTCACAAAGAAAGCAGTGACCTGCAAGAAATCCTGCATGGGCACATTTTTTAGGGTTTTGGCCACATACATAATGCGGAGCAGAACGTGTTTTTTCTTAGTAGGCGTTTCTCGGAGGCCCCAGGTTCCCCGTGAATCAACTCCGAACAAGCTCCGAACGAACAAACTCCGAACAACCTCCGAACAAACTCCGAACGAACTCCGAACGAACTCCGAACGATCTCCGAACAAACTCGGAGCAAACTCGGGACAAACTCCGAACAAACTCCGGGCGAGCTCGGAACAAACTCCGAACAACCGAACAAGCTCGGAGCGAACTTTGTCATTGGTTGATGTCCGAACAAACCCCCGGGCCAACTCCGAACACACTTTGGCCATAAGCAGGTTTTTGAGCCTAGGTATTTTGGTGGTCAAACTGTTTTTGTTGCTTTTTTCGGGCTTACCAAAAGAGGCAAGTGCTTACAGGGGCCAGTTTCAACAAGTGGCCTGGGAAGGCGTTCAGGGCCGCATTTGTAGGACTTCAGAGCTGCGGAGGGCTAAAATCGCTACCGGGGTGATCACGCAGCTTGGTTGACGCTGAGGCTCGCTGTTGAAGCTGAACCAAAGCTTAATCTTTTTGATCAAGGCTCATTCCGGGGGAAAAAAAAGTATTCCCAAAAAAAACGCTTAAGTTCAACACCGGTGTTGAACTTAAGGGTTTGGCCGATTTGTGTAATGGCTTGCCCGATTTTGGTCGTATGAAATAGCTGTGTTTTTTTTGCATGAAAAACCTGGATTAAGCATGTTTCAATCGTTGCTTGCCCTGAAGGGACACCCATGGCAACTGAGACTTCTCCCAACTACATCCAGAACTTCTTTCTTTTGCTCCCTGCCTCTTGCCCAGGTGCATCAGTACCTCAGTCTCGGCAAACCCAAGCGCGCTCCAGGCGCAGGTATTCCGGTTCAAAGTAGATAGGCCGAGCAAGCTTATGACATTATGATGTCCTATTCGGCTTTTGAAAGCGACGCACCTTGGCTGTGCAACAAGGCACTCCAAATGATTGAACAAGTGCCGCAAATGGAGCATAGGAATCTTCGAGCACATCATCTAGCTCAACTTCGGGCTCTGGTGACACCAAGTCGCCACTGAGTGATTGTTCCGAAACTGGTTCTAACTCAGATTCAGAAAGCCGGTCGTTGTCATCCTCATCCTCGTCACGAATTGGCGACAGAAACCTCACTAGGGCCAGAGAAGAGCTGTCACTAGGCAAGAATTATAACCAGCCTTTTTTTTCCAGCACTTGGCGCTTTTTTTCTTGCCGAGGCATCGTAGCTGCGCCCCAACGGCCGTGCTGACCTCACAGCAGCGCAGGCATGTTGTTGGGTGGGGCTATGAGACTTTGGTTGCAATTGGGAATCCCAATTCGTTGCACATGGCTTCCAAGTCAAGCCGACCAAGCCAAAAGCAGCAACTAAGGAGCTTGTGCGGCGCGCAGGACGCACAGCTCATTGCTTTGAAGAAAACCACTGGTTGTTGAAGCCTTCTGCTTGAACTAAGGATTGACCTCTTTTTTTGCCCTAGCAAGGGTAACGTGGTCGCTCATGTCTGACTGTGCCTTGGAAGCAAGCATTGCGAGGGCACGCTTATTATGGTGTGCACTTGTGTTCCAGGTGCAGGCGCGGAGGCGCCTTTGTGGGCCTTGGGGGAAATCCTTCCTCCTTCAACCCCTGTGCTGCGCTTAGGCCCGTTAGACTGCTTCGCTTTGAGACAATAGGGGGCACAGCTTTCATGTGCCTTTCATTTAGGTGATCCTCACCGCCAGCACAGATTGTGCATTGGGCCCACTGAAATTTATTCTGGCGAACAGCCACCCGCGCAAGCTGCGAACTTAATATTTCAGCTTAACTTGGCTGCTCTTCGTTCATCATTGCTGCGGTTTCCCCGCTGCTTCAAGGCTGTTTTGTGAGATGGCCAACCGCGACCTCTCTGAAGTAGTTGACAGCCTGCTGTACGCGGCGGGATTTCCATGTACACCGTGACTTGCTTTCAAACATCTAGCCGTTTCAAAGCCCCCGTGTTTCTAGCCCCTTGCCCGCTCAGGTTCAGCAGATTGAGGGCATCAACAACATTCTTCCAGGAGAAGGCAGCGGCTTGCTTTTTCTATGTCATCGAAGCGCTTGCAAGGAGAGGGCCCCTTGATTGTCTCTGCACCCTTGCTCCGGTGAAGGGATCCTGCGGGACTTCCAGCACAAGCTCACGTGCAGCTTCATGGAGCGCGAGCGGGGGTTGAAGGCAAGGGGGCTGAACAACGTAGGGGTACGGGGACAGGGGCTGAACATTTGACTACCCTGAAAGGTTCGCCTGGCGACCGTTTTCTTTGACCCCGCAACCACCTACGGAGCCCGGTCCGGGTTCCACCAAGCACTGCTGGTTTCTTCATCCGAGAAGGGCAACATCTTTCACAAGAGTGGTCTTTGGAAATCACGAGTCGCCAGCGGTGTAAGCATGCTTCCCAGAAGCGAGATGGTCAAATGCCCAAAAGCGGACGGCAGCAACAAGTACGGCGGAGACGGACGCTTCACCAAAGTTCAGGAGATGAAGCAAGACACATGGCCAAATAACAAATTCTAGGGTTGTTGTTTGTTTAGCCTCAAGGTTCCCCACTTTAAAAACAAGCCCCGCAGACCCTTGAAGTGATGTTTGGGAACTCCAGCTAAGTACTGTGGTGGCCTGTCGTTCTTCGGGTCGACAGTGGAAGCTGCGCTCCCCCATCCTGAGTGCCCGACTGTGGCGCTTGACCTCATGGCCTTTGATGCCTGGCCAGCTTGCTATGTGCTGAATCAGGTGGCCCGAGGACAGGGCGAGGCCAATATTGGACGGCGATTGGGAGAAAGTTAGCCATCCTGGCGCAGGCCTTTAAAACTGGCGCCATGCCAATGTCAATAGCATTTACATCACTGACTCTTTGTCTGGACGTTTTCTTGTGGAGCCTAGAAACTTTTGCACGGTTCCCCTTCCTACGAAAAAGCCCCTACCAAGTTGTTTCCGACCACATTTTCCTTTATGCGGGCATTTTCTCGTGGAGCCTGAACTTGTTCAAATGGTTCCTCCTTTCTTGCCACAGGGTTTCCCTACCAACATGCTCCGACAAAATAGTGACCCAAAGGACGAAAATGGGCGATCGGCTCGGTAGCCCACTCTGGCGCTGAAACTGTGTTCTGCGCGAACTTAGTTGCGCAGAAGGCATTCGGGCTCGCACGCTCTGACAACCTCAAAATTCCGGGGTTCCCGAAGTTCGAGGACACGATCAAAGAATTGAAGAGCCAGGCCGTCACGCAACTCCCGCAGTATGACGTCTGCGTGGGGCTCGCCGACGGTGTGTTGGTTGTGAAGGAGGCAGTGCGCCAAATGTGGTTGGCCAAGGCAGACTTTTCTGCAGAGGCAACTCAATTGTTTCAGCAGCATGACGCCGAGTTCAACCCAAAGCACATTCGCAGGGGCGCAGCGGATGCAGAACAGGGGGGGCCACAAGAAGTTGAAGAAAAACAGCTCACTGCTGAGGGCGTCCTGTGCAAGGGCGAGTTTGAGAAGCAACATGAAGACAGGCGCCTAGCTTGATAATCTTTAGTACAAACTTCCCAAGTGTTCAGCTTCATTCCTCAAGATTGTGTTGGTGCGAGGGCCTCAAAATAGGGGACCCCGACGAGCGGTGGCTTTCCCTTCAAAATTGCGAAATTGTGAAGCCCCCCCCCCAATATGGCTTTTGTTTTGATAGGGAACACGAAAGCTGATGGTCTGTCTTTTGATTCCCTTTTCAAGCAGCCCCAAAAAGGACACTTTTCCACATTATGCATTCCCATACTTTTTCCACTTCCAGGTTTTCCCTGCAATGCGGGGCTGCGAATCTACACTGGTGCAAGAGCGCCAACCGCTTGTTCATGACGGCTGAGTCAGCCACAACAGTTGCAGCCTTGACAGAGGCTTTCTCTTTTGGGAGTGGCGACTTCCTCAAAGGAACCGAAGCTACAGATGCAATGTCAGACAGCACAGCATCTGGACGATGGCTTTCGTTCAACATGGCCGGAGATGCGGGATCTACAATGG